AGCCAGCGAGGCTGGAGCTGCCACAAACGTCTACACGTAGCTCGCGCTGCTAGCAAGTGCTAGCACAAAGAACCGTTACGCACACTTGCTGCGTTGTCGAATGACCTACTGACTCGAAGCCATTTATGCAGACAGCTTGTGCCGTGAAAACAACTTAATAACATAGCGTGATTTGTATCACTTTGAGTGTAGTGGAATTGCGCACAATGTCCCCGAAGAAATAGAAAAGGGTTTACCACTCTTCGCTATATATCACCAAGAGTAGATAATGTGTTATTATCTACTCTTGATATCACTTGTGCGCACGTGTGTGTCCAAATTTATTTGTCCATTTCAGGAAATTCAACTTAGTTACATCATTGCTCTCATTTTAAAAACATTCAATATAAAGCTATCAGAACAATCTAAAGGAATTTAAAACATATATACAACTTTAAACATATATACAGCTTTAAACGTACAGTGTAGCTTTGTTATATTACGATTGTTGGGCTCCATAATATGTCATCACGAAAAAAGCGGGGTCACACTAAATTGGGGTTAGATATATGTGGCTATATAAGAGCAAAAACAGGGGGTCCAACGACTCATCGCTTTATATCCGAATTCGCGTTAAATCGGGCCGCCTAAAATCGGGGTTCCACCGTATATACAACTTTAAACATTTTCTAAGGGGACCACGTTCCCAGACCTGCCTGGTTCCACCCCACAACGGACCATGAAGTGCTTCATCACACTTTTTCGTTGAAGCGCAATTGGATTATTATTCCACCCACCTGGAACACAAAAACAATTCGTGCATAATCATTATCAAATATAATATCCGTATCATTTAGTGTCCCTCTTATAAACCAATCATAATTGAAACTTGGCACATCGCCCGCTCGCCAAAGTTGAGTGAAGTTAATGTCGCGTAACTAAAAACAAAAACTGACCCGCTCATTTCCGTATGTAAAATAATTGGAGTACTGCATATGGGACTTGTAGTGTACGTGTTGATTGTCGTAAAGGTCATTACTTTACAATGACATTTAATAACTAACTAGATGTTAGTGTATGAAAGTACATAAAGGCTCAGACAGACAATCACAGATTAATAAATTAGGATTTAACTTGAAAAATGAATCTCTAGTATCTCTAAAGTCGGCATATATCCGTGCATCTATACACGCATAGCAGGAATACA